TCGATTTATCGTTCGTCCCATTGTTCTTCGCGGAGCAATTAAAACTTTGAAAAGAACAAACGCGAGCACGCTGAATGACCGTTTTATTTGGATAACAAATTAAACCCCGTAAATCTCTGCCACGATTTTGCTCGTATTCCATCGAGCATGAAAAATGAAGCGGGGGTTGTAAATCGTATCTTCGCGAATATGCGGTGTAGTAACGTCGTAAATTATAATTAAACACGATCCATAGCGCGTACATCAGTGTAGTTTAACGCGGTTGCCGGGGATAAGCCCACCGTTTAATTCCATAAACCGGAAATTTTAATTTTACTCTCGTCCATCAAAAGCCGATCGAACGGCAAAATTAACCCGCACGCAATTACGAGCTTTCACGACGCTTTTACGAACTCGCCTTTGCACTCTTAACCCTTTCATTTTACTGCTGATCGATAAGTAATTTCTTTCGCGGATTTCTCAAGAGATTTCTTTAATGCGCATTAACCTGAATTTAGTCGATAGATTATGCGAGTTTCTTTTTGAACGTTCAGTGGCCTCTAAACAAAACAAAATGGCGTCTAGTTTAACCTTTTGTCGTTCGACGAGTCTCACTCGCGATGCACTCACAGCTCAAATATAACAAATCTTACTGAAATTTTTAATACTCTTCGATTTAAAATTTTGGTCCTACCATGATTTGCATTTTCAAAGATTGTTGAATATAAAGTATTCATCTTTTAACACTAAAACGGTCAAATGACCGTTCCACAAGTTTTTCATTATAAGGTACACATTTTGTTCAAATGCATTCCTTGAAATTAGTACTGATTTTTGTCAAGATAAAGAATAAATGTGTGTACTAATTTATGTTTCATCGTTTCTTTATTTGTTTTTTAACTTCATTTTTAATTTATATTATATGTCGGTAGTTTTAGTGTTAATTTCTCTTTTGCTCAAACATACCTATGAATAGTTTTGACTGACGCATCTGAAATAAATTGTACAAGGGGTTAAAAATACAAAACGTCCTGATACATACTTAATACGAGTAATAAAAATATAGAGTCAATAATAGAACAATGAATAAAAGCTGGATAAGAATAAAATATTCTCCAAAACAAGAATGAAAAAATAAAACAGCTACTTATAAGCACATTAAAATTCCGTCCCAGCAGAAATAAAATGGCGAAAAAAGTGGAAGTTTAATTAAGTATTTCAGAAATGTAAGGTGCTAAGATAAAAGGTCTCGGTAGTTGCATGTTCGAGGCGCAAAAAGTGTCGGAGAACCGCCTATTTAATGTCGCGAGTCGGTAATAAAAAATTGGATTTGTCGAAGAGTGTTATTGCGGCAGCTTTCTATTACAAGACGAACGCGGTGTTCCAGTCGTCGTAAATTAGCGTGCGTGATTTAACGATGCTCGATTTAGTGTGTAACACGTTGATCGTGTAACGGATACCCGCGTAATTCCCGCGTGTCAGCTTGAACGACATCGCGGACGAATTGTAGCTCGTTCTGGGATTGGCTGCAATTCACTTTTACGAGCACCGCGGCATTCTTATCTGCTTTATGTAACATCTGATAAGCGACCGCCTTGCGCGAGACCGGGACACCGTGCTTATCGATCGAAATCGAGAGGTCCCCCGGTAGGAAAAGCGTGATTTACCTCTCCTCGAGGAAACGCTCGTTTTCCCTCGTTAAACGAGCGGAAATCCTCTTACCTGGCTTTCTGTCCAATTGGATCAAGTGGATTAAGAGAATCGCGGAATTAAAACGATAATGTCAGCGTTAAAATGCTTGAATTACCTCTGCTGTTCTTAATTGAAGAAATTATTTTCCGATAGCACTTCACGACCCGTTAAAACGCGAGAGTTTCAATCGGTCAAGTATCAAACTTCATTTTCTCAAACTTGTACTCTTCCAATGGTATCTCGATATTTTCTCAGCTGTCCGCTTCCTGTCCATTTCGCGGAAACGAGATGCTTGTTTCACCACCGGACAATTTAACGTCTCGTAAACGGGAAAGAGCGACGGTGGAGGCGAAAACGAGAGACGAAGGCACTCTAGACTAGACAACCGGATAGATAACTGCAGCCACACGGGGTGTCATCGTCGCGTGATGGAGTGCCCTAGACGGGGCGAACAGTGTGCGCTGATGAAAAGCACTAAAAAAAACGTGTGCACCCCTCTTGCGAGTCTCGTCTCGCCCCTCTGGACAACGCCCGTCATTGTACCGCCACGATGCAGCTATTATATTCACCTGTCTCTGTTTTCACGGGGGGAAAAAAAACATCGGTGTCTCCTGTTCTCACCTCCAGCTTCGACTCGTAGCCTCTTTGTCCTTTGCTCTTGTCTCCGTTTCGTTGGCTGGACGTACCTGGTGACTACTACGATTCAAACTCGCGACGTTTCGCGAGGGATCTTTTGTCGACAGATCTTACGGGCTATTTTTGTCTGATCTAAGGGTCTTTTACGTTCGATGCCGAATGTAAACGGTTTCTGTTCCATTCAATACAGTTTTTTGGTGCTTGAGGGCTCTGGGAATTTGGAGCTGCTGAGAGGTTACAGGGTGTTTAAAAAGGGTGTACTCAGTATTTTGCAATAGTGAAGGAATACTTCGTTACCTTTTGTTAGCTTGTTCTATTGATCTGTCAATAAACATGTCAATGTGTATGTATGAATGTATATGTTATCTTTTGTTAGCTTGTTGTATTAATCTGTCAATAAACATATCATGTATATGTGTCAATGTATATGTTACGTTTTATTAGCTTATTCTATTAATCTGTTAATAAACATGTCAATGTATATGTATGAATGTTTATGTTACCTTTTATTAGCTTGTTCTATTAATCTGCCAATAAACATGTCAATGTATATGTTACCTTTTATTAGCTTATTCTATTAATCTGTTAATAAACATATCAATGCATATGTGTGAATGTTTATGTTACCTTTTATTAGCTTGTTCTATTAATCTGTCAATAAACATATCAATGTATATGTATGAATATATATGTTATCTTTTGTTAGCTTGTTTTATTAATCTGTCAATAAACATATCATGTATATGTGTGAATGTATATGTTTCGTTTTATTAGCTTGTTCTATTAATCTGCCAATAAACATGTCAATGTATATGTTACCTTTTATTAGCTTGTTCTATTAATCTGTCAATAAATATATCAATGTATATGTATGAATAGATATGTTATCTTTTGTTAGTTTGTTGTATTAATCTGTCAATAAACATATCATGTATATGTGTGAATGTATATGTTATCTTTTATTAGCTTATTCTATTAATCTGTTAATAAACACATCAATTTATATGTATGAATGTATATGTTATCTTTTGTTAGCTTGTTCTATTAATCTGTCAATGAACATGTATACGTGAAAATGTTTATAACCTTGATCAAAATGAAATATACGTATAATAGCAAATTAAAGTACATCTAATTCTTTCGAGACACCCTGTTCCTTGTATTTCTGTCCGGTATGTGACTGCAGTGACCAATCGTGCTGAAAATACCTGTAAAACGAGAAATTTACTTTTGCCTGTAACCAATCGTCTTGCCAGAAGTCCTGACGTAAGTGATCTCGATTTCGGGACAACGTGAATTTAGAACCGGGAAATAAAAGTCAGAATTTTCGCTTGCGTAGTTGCGAATGCATCTCAATTTGATCTTTCCGCGAAATAGCTCTCGAACAACGAGAAGCACGTAAGAGCGTGCAATTGTAGGCAACTGGCTGCATTATTATTTACACACGCACTGTTCCAGAGTCTATAGCTTCGCTATTCCCGAGATCCTTCGGTTGCAATTTACCTTGCTTTTCTTCGTGTCGTCGAAGACGTCGGATAATTCCTTTAACGCGTTAAATTATCCAACGCGCAAAAGCTGTCGGAGTCGAACTACAGCTTTCTAGAATTCTAAACAGGCATGCAGCGACTGTTATCGGATTATGGAACGGGGTCTCGAGCCGTTAATCTACTTGAAATTTTGATGCGGAAATTGATAAGTGCGAGTCTACGAAGTTAATAACGCGGCTTTGACAAAAGAGAAAATGAACGTTTGAAATAAGCGATGAAATATGGAGGATCGGAGAAATGTGCAGATATTTCTTAAATTATCAATATTTATGTTTCTCATTTATTCAATTTTATGCAATTAATTTCACGGTTTGGTTAAGTTAATGAAATTTTGCAGATACGTGTAAGGAACGTGAACACATTGTTGTTTTTAACCTACAATAACTCTTGCAAAATTAGAGAAAGTTAAACTATGCACTTATGATACATCGACTACTATAAATAAATCGTGTATCCATATGGATTTATGTTTACTTTGTAAGCTTTGATACGCAACAGTCTAGCTATAACTCGAACGATTGAAATCCACTTGAAACTACAATGATTTACGAACAAAACGCTGTCTTAAAATCTAACAAATCCTTTCAAGCTATTCAAAGGATCCTACGAAGACTCGATGTCTGATACTTTGTTTATGTAATAAACGCAAGCGTAAAAAATCCGTATTCGTCAGTCGATTGTATTCAGCTCGAACTTTAGCAACACGCACGGTAGAAACAACGGTATCAACAAACGCCAACGCAACGTGCTTCCTGACAATAAGCGTTGTTTCTAAGAACGAGCGTGTTAGCGACAGTCATTCGACGTCCGGCATTGTAAATTCCTTGACCTCGTCCCGATCGCATCTTGTGTCAGCAAGTGCGAAAGTCGACAAGAAATGTATGCTACCGTTCCATTCGAGAGATCTACGTCTAAGCCAAAGTCCGGTTCTGTCGGTATAATGATCATGAATATAAAAATGACTATTTTGAATTATTACGCGAGCTGAAATGGTGGACTATGAAAAAGGCGAATAGTGCTGTAAAAAATAGGAGAGTGAAATTAGTTTGATTGGAAGAAGGGAGCAAACATTCGGATCGGGGCTAACGAAGTGACCCAAATCCAGGGTAACGAAGGCAAACGGAACAGCAAACTTTCGTTACTTACTGGTGAGTGGTGACGTTGAAGAAGAGATGCGAGAACTGCGGGGCCGAGTCTTCCGGGCCATGGGGCGCCGGGAAGCTCGCGACGAGCATCACCGGCTTCCTGGCGAAATTGTGTTTGCTCTGACGTAGGAAAGCCACGCTGTCGTTCGCTATCAGGTCCGGATAATAGTCCTTGCTGTACTCGAAGCCGTGCTTTATCTTCTTGCCGTTCATATTCACGCTGTAGTTGTAGTACCGTGAATTCATTATGAGCCCGCCCCATTCCCGCCATCCGGGCGGTATGTACGAGCCGTTGTACTTGTTCAGATACTTGCCGAAGTACCCTGAAACGTGTGTTTACGTGAATTCAATTTCTACGCAGTCTGTTCGGATAACGCCTCTAACGTTCGCGGTGTTCCACAGCACATTTTCATTACGGTTCTGAAGAATCAATTGATCTTCGCACAAAGGATCGGAAAAAAAGTAAACGAATGTTGCCATCGAGTGAATAATGGTCGCGAGGTGTGGCCGACTCGCGGGTCTAATGAAAGAAAGATCTCTACCCCTTACTATCGTGGTTAATAATTAATGTGCTGTGGACACGCTCGACTCGTCGCAGGAACTGACTCATGTAACCGGCCAATTTTGCTTTTATTTTAACCAGAGAATCTAGAGACCGGATTAGTGTCGTAAGAAATTTTGACGTGGGTCGAGGCATTAACCGAACAATTAACTGCATTGAGCAGTCGGTTTTTAGGTCATCGATTGCGTCGAGCATTTCGAAACATTTACAGATATTTAACCCCTTCCCGTGCTTTGACGAGTCAAGTGACGCACTTACTTCTCAAATGTGACAGACCTTACTCAAATTTTGAATACTCTTTAACTTGACATTTAGGTGCAGCTACAAGTTGCATTATCAAGGATCCCTGCATATAAAATGCGCGCAACATTTTAATTTTCTTTGTTCGGTTTAATGTTATAGCCCTGATTAGTTAGTCTTGACTGACGCATCTGATAAATAAATTGCACGGGAAGGGGTTAAGCAAACAGTCTAGCCTTATTTAATAAAACGAGGGAACAGTAGTATCGGTGTAGCCATGCGTTCTATCGCCACGCGTTGTATTACCACGTTCGCCGTTCCGAACGTGGGGATAACGAAATTTCCAGCTTCCCACGGCAGAAAATTCCACGCGAGAAATATCCTAAGGGCAACTAGTGCTTTTCCTGCCAGTGGATCGCGATAAATCAAAAGGCAATCCCATTTTCCGCTTGCCGACCCCCGGTATACAAGCAGCTCTAGATTCATCTCGGACTAACGTTGAATTATTCATATGGGTAGCATCCAATAATTAATTCAAAAGTACCACCACCTTCGTCGTCCCTGCGTTTACATACCTACCTGTGCCTATAAGGGAATCTTATTTATAACAGTGGCGCGGAACGAGAGGCTGTTTCGGTTAGGACAACTTTTTACCGGTCGAGGACCACCGAGCTGGACCAATCGCATTACTCTCATTTTGCGTTAACCGATGACGTCTCAATAAAGGACCGCCTTGTCCGCTAAATATAAAGAACAGTAAATCTTCCTGGAAGGGTACTGCTTCCAGTGAAAAATACGTCCTTCATCGCGTATCGTTTGCTATGGCCCCGGATCCACAGTATCGATCGCTCGTTCGTTATGATATCGCTGGTGTCACGTAACAAAAAGAAGCGACGATTAATTAGCGGCGTTGTCTGAAAAAGTTCGGTCGTTCGGTCGTTCGGCCAAGTTTTCGAAAACGAGACGCGTTTCTCAGGAAACAGGTTTAGGGGAATTTGCATAAACGAGCCTGTCTCGGTTCACGATTGCTCTTTAATTGTTGATAATTTGGGATTATTGGATAGCGTGTTGAGAATATACTTTAGGGAGCCATTGATGTACAAAGCTGTTCCGTTAATCAACTTAATCGTTTTGGGTTCGCGATAGCATCTAATTCCGAGAAGCAAGTGGACCAGTATCAATATAGCTGAAAGCTCTATTAATCGTTGGAGTCTTCGTCGTTTTCTAATCGCTACTTGATTAATAATTTTTATCTTCATTATTTTATAATATTGCATGTAGAAAGTTTGAAAAATGACATATCCATAAAGAAGCATTTTATAAGTATAATGTTCGTACAATGTATCCATTTTAATGTTTAATAAATAACCCCATACCGTAATAAACGAGAAGGTCTCGGTTATAACAATTTAGTAGTTCGAATGTATCACGGAAGGCCGTTTGACAAGATCGTTTTTGCATCGATTAATATCGTGGATCTCGCATTTCCCCGGGGTCGTTGCTACGATCGCGTTCACCTCAAGTGCACTTTACACGACGCTGACTTAGCGCCAGCCTAAAAATACCTGGATGCACTGGGGCAGCCGTAAATATCAATTAGATTCTTATCGTGTTATACGGTGTACGTTCTACTGTACAGTGTGCTCCAATAATGATCGACCAGCTCGTTACGAGTCTAATTGGCCATAACATCCTTCCGCTTAATCATTGTCCTCGTATCAGTCTCGTAAAAACCCCTCGTAAAACCTTGTTGCAAACTGCTCGAAAAACTGCAACATTCTGTTTAAAATGTTGCTGTTATTATCTTAATTCTATTAGAGGTTTTGCTGCGCTGTTTTTCTTCTTGAAGCACGTGAACGACAATCTACATCATTCAAGTCAGACAATTAAATACATTAATTCTCTTTTATGTACCCATATTTTTCTTTAATAATGTATATGGAAACTAATGGAATTTATGAAGCATGCAATGGCATAATACATCACACGTGATATGAATGTCACATGGATGTAACGTGTCCTTTGCTTGACGAATTTCAAACGAACCACATATGTGAACCTTGAAGAGGTTAAAATAAATGTACCATTACTTTAATACCGATATATTTTCTTGTACCTATAATTCTTGACACGATTCATTTTAAACATATTGTTATAAATACGACTGGTAAAATAGAGGACCAAATAGCTAATCAGATTTAGCAGGAGCCTCCGACGGTCCAAACGACCCCCGTTTTCAATTATAACCGCAGCGTGCGCAAGAGCCATTTCTCATCAGTTCGCAGTTTCATTCGATATATCAGCGTCGTTATCCAGCTGAAAACGAGCATACGTCAAGGAACAACCTTCGACGTCGTTCTCGATTCGCCGCGGTTCGTTGCATTGGCTCGATACATCCTTTTCGCGAATTCTGGCCCATATTCCGGTGCATGTCTCGTGTATATCCGCTGCATCGATCGCTGCAACCATTCCGATTCCCCTGTCCAGGATATATGGTCGTTTTATTCGTGCGGACCAAAGCTCGGCCCGCGACTGGCGCCAGGATATCACGGCTCCTGCCCTCGTCCTTTTGTCCCGCTTTGTCGGGGTAGACCGATCGACCGACCGTGTGTCTCGGTTTTTTACGATCGACCGGCATCGACAACGAACCGGCCGTTATTTCTGCGTTTTCACTCGCGTCTAGCACGCTTTTTCTGCGTCGACCTTGCACACTCTGGCTGCGTTCAAGAAGCAACAGGTAACGCGGATATCGGACGCGTTTGACCCACTGCGTTCGCGTGATTCACAATCGAATTGGGGATTCCACGAATGTATCGCTTTTCATCCCTCTTCTCATTCAGCTGAAACGATTCGATAAATTGTATACGTGTTCCGGTAACGATTCAAATAATTTTATAGCGCTATGACGTTCAAATTTCGTCCGGACTTTGAACAAGAGATACGATAGCTTTAATAGGGAAAGCTCAGGAGTCACTGTACAAAATCTCACGGCCGACCGAGCTTCGGCTAAATCCGATTAGCGGGGCAGTTCGTAAATCTGGATAGATTCACCGGTCCCGAGAGTATTTAAAAAGAAGCGAAGGTTTTGGCCAGTTCGGATTCCCAGGAAAGCTGGCCAACGGGTGTCCGAGTCGGATTAGAGAACGGTACCGATATTAGCAAGGCTAAGTGCACGCTAGTTTATTCGGCACATCGCGATGTACCGAATCGGTAATAGTAGGACTTCCAAATTATTTCGGCTCGATGGTTTCGTGCCAACGGGGTATTAACCCCGTTTTCCATGGAGGCTCGTCGATTCCCTGGCTCGCGTGTCGACCGATGCCCCCGTCATCCCGTTTCGTGCGATTTTCAACGTGGACGATTTAAAGGTGCATCGCATGCAGTCGGCTTTAACGAGCGGCACGAGCTCGCGAAAAGAATCTCTCTACAAATAGAGGCAGTTCAACGTTACCCACGAATCACTGGTTATTACGTGAAAATTTTCCTGATGATGGTCAACGTGGTACGATTGTTAGCGACGTGATCGAGCGCCTCGCGAGCTAGAATCATAAAACTGACTCAGACTTGCTTCATGAATTTGGTGGTCTAGAAATCATGAAAGAAAATCATGAAGAAAAATTTGAAAATTATTTAAAAAATTTTAAGGTTTCTGAGAAGTAGATGTTTAGGAATTTGAAGATGTAAAAGTTATAATTGTGGTATGTGTGTGTGTATGTAATTGTATGATCGACATGGGTGCATAATATGAATGAAGCTTGCGTATGGTATGATTGAAGTTTGCATGTAATGAAGGTTGCTAGAAGATTGTAAGATTGTCTTTTTGTGATCGAATGTTTTTGGGAGAAAAGCAAAGAGGGTTCGTGAGAGATTGTGAGATGGAGACGCGAGAAGTTTGTTAATTCCTGAAGTTCCATTTGTGTTGCATTTAATTAATTATACTTTGTTAATAAATTTCATTAATCTTTCTAATTATTAAATATTATTATACATAATATTTGAAGTTCTTGTTAACTTTCCACTTGTGTCCCTGACAAAAGGAAGGCTACGTTTCCAATCATACCCCAATCACGGAAAGTTGCGAGACGCTAATTTTCGTACATTCTCAACAACGTATCGACAAGAAAATCATCCTTGAAATTTATGAAAGCATCGAACGCTTTGACGTGAATGAATTGTCGGTGATTGAAAAGTTCTGTATATACGTTACGAAGTGCAATTATACCCCGGTCGTTGCGTGTACCGAGTTTTTTGGCCACCAGTTTGCGTGCACGCATGCATTAATCGTAGAAAACTGTTCTGGACGATGTATGGTACCAACGTCTTACGCTGATGTACCGTCATTACGCACTTATCATGATTATGCAGATAATAGGGACCGATTTGTCTTATTACCGGTGCGAGCGTCCGTTCCGACGCGATAATTTTTTACTCTGTCTTCATACTACTTCTTGAACGCTCGTTTCTTTATGAGCTGCGAAGATAGTCGTGGGGCAGAAAAATTCATGTCAGATTCAGTGGTGA